TGAGCAGGAAGCTTGGTTTTCTCTCTCCTTATTGTCACACCTTTGCTCACAAAATCTAAATGGCTGTGGTTGGAAGCCTCCAGGGTGGTGGCTCCATTTGCTTCAGTGTCTACACAGCTGGAATACCAGTAATCAAACTCATCATTGCTTATGCGAGCCATTTTATCCAACACATTTCCAGGAATTTTAGAGGTTAATCTATTAGTTCTCCCCAGTTTCTAATAGCTTGCCTTATCACATTAATAATATAATCGTAAAGTTTTGAAATTGCATTGTCATGGCTAATAAAACATGGCTATTTCCTGTATCATAAAGTATTTTATCATAAAGCACATTTTGATACTATGTTAGAAATATTGTTTGTAGTGCTAATGTAGTCATCACTCAGTTCTGTAATCCTTACTACCTTTCTCCCTAAAGGTGTCTGGGTATATTTCAAATGTGGGTGGTATATTAGTTAGGTATTGATGAGTAACAAATTACTATGCATTTAGAATCTTAAAACAGTAGAAATTATTGTCCTGCAGTTTCTGTCGTTCCACGTTCTGGGCACAGGTTCCCTAGGGTCTCTAAGAGCTTAAACAGGGTTGCAGTCCAGGCACTGGCTAGGCTGTGATGGAGACTCACGTAGGGAGGAGCCCACCGGTGTGCAGGATCATTCAGGTGGAGGCTCCCACAGGTCCCTGCCACACGACTCCTCCGTGGCGAAGTCGCAACCCCAACACAGCCGCTCACTTCTTCAAGAGCCGCACGAGGGTGAGAGCCAGCAAGTTGGAGACTAATATAATATGGTGTAATCCTGAGAGGGATGTCTCTTGGCCTTTGTCCCATTCTGATGGTCAGGTGCAGACCACAGGTCCTGCCCACACACAAAAGACGGGTTTACGCACAACGGTGTCAGCGCCAGGAACAGGGATCACCAGAGGTCACCGTAGGGTATATCTGAGCCAGGTACCAAGGTAGATTTTTTTTTAAGATTTATATATTTACTTGAAAGGCAGAGTTACAGAGAGGCAGAGGCAGAGAGAGAGACAGAGAGAGAGAGAGAGGAAGTCTTTCATCCGCTGGTTCACTCCCCAGATGGCCACAACAGCCGGAGCTGCACCGATCTGAAGCCAGGAGCCAGGAGCTTTTTCCAAGTCTCTCTCATGGGTGCAGGGGCCCAAGGATTTGGACCATCCTATATGGCTCTCCCAGTCCACTGGCAAAGAGCTTGATCAGAAGTGGAACAGCCGGGAATAGAACCGGCACCCATATGGGATGCCGGCACTGTAGGCAGCGGCTACACCACGGCATCATCTCCCCAAGGTAAATTTTTCATGCTTCAGATTTCAGATGTCTTTTTATATGTCAAAAATAGACATAATTTAAACAGCAAAGCGATAATGTGTGATAGTGTTTTAGTGTTTTTTTGTTTTTGTTTTTGTTTTTTTTTTTTAAACAGGCAGAGTGGACAGTGAGAGAGAGAAAGAGAGACAGAGAGAAAAGTCTTCCTTTTGCCGTTGGTTCACTCTCCAATGGCCATTGCGGCCGGCGTGCTGCGGCCGGCACACCACGCTGATCCGAAGGCAGGAGCCAGGTGCTTCTCCTGGTCTCCCATGCGGGTGCAGGGCCCAAGCACTTGGGCCATCCTCCACTGCACTCCCAGGCCACAGCAGAGAGCTGGCCTGGAAGAGGGGCAACCGGGACAGAATCCGGTGCCCCGACCGGGACTAGAACCCAGTGTGCCGGCGCCACAAGGCAGAGGATTAGCCTATTCAGCCACGGCGCCAGCCGATAGTGTTTTAATAGAGACTGGAATATTGACAATAAAGAAGAAAAAACTTAAAAAGACATTTTAATAAACTTTCAGAATATAATAAATAAAATTCAAACTTCCATTTTAAATTTATCTAAATAATTAATATGGAACTGAAAAAGTATGTTAGCCAGCTGATTTCTTGAACTCTTAAGTGCTGCAATGTTTTTCCATGCTGAAACAGGATCCAGAAATAAACAAATGTTACAAAAAAAGCAACAGGGGCTGGCGCTGTGGTGCAGTAGGTTAATCCTCTGTCTGCAGTGCCGGCATCCCATATGGGTGCCAGTTTGAGTCCCGGCTGTTCCACTTCTGATCCAGCTTTCTGCTATGGCCTGGGAAAGCAGAAGATGGCCCAAGTGCTTGAGCCCCTGAACCCACATGGGAGACCTGGAAAAAGCTCCTGGTTCCTGGCTTTGGTTTGGCTCAGCTCCAGCCATTGGGGCCGTCTGGAGAGTGAACTAGTGGATAGAAGACCTCTCTCTCTGTCTCTCCCTGTCATTGTCTGTAACTCTAACTCTCATATAAAAATTTTTTTTAAAAAAGCAACAAATGGGAGAAAATATTTGCAACATATTTAACAGAGAGAGGATTAATAGTCAAAAATACATAAAAAGCTACCACAAGTTACAAAAGAAAAAAACAATCACAAAGAATAATGGACAAATATAGAATAGGCCATTCAGAAAGAACATACATAGTAGATAAAGAAAAAATACAGAATCACACTTGTAAGTAAGCAAATATCAAAGCAATAATGAATAATGAAATATACATTCACTCATAATCAGAAAGGTAGAAGAAGATCTGTGATGCCACATGCTTTCAAGGACTCGAGACAGTAGAGGTTTACAGATGTGCTGAGAAGGATAGACAGGCCTTTGAAAGTTAATGTGGCAAAACCCCAACATAGTAAAAAGATTTACTATTTGATCCAGCAATTTCATTTCTGGTAAGTGGTTATAAAAATTACTCCCACTTTTTAAAAAAGTAATACGTGAGGATATCCACTGTATCACTTTTTGTAACAGTGAAACACTGGAAATAAATGTGTTACAATAGAGAACTGAAATAGGACATAACCACGCCATGAGATTCTATGTGGTCAGCAAGTAGGAAGAAGAGGAAGTTGACGCACGGAGAAACTGACTTAAGAAGCATATTTGCTTCAGAACAACATCACGGCCCCACTACCAGAGAAGAGTCAAGAGCGACAAGCAAATTATGATCTCTTTATGGAAACAAGAGAGGCATGGGTCCGCACACGTTTGTGGGAAGGACTGAGAGCGCACACGGCCGACTCTGAGCCCCTCCCAGCTTCGGTGAGACGTGGGCACAGGGGACCAGAGAGAGCATCCCGCTCCCCATTGTGCAACTCCACCTGTTTACTTGTGGACACTGAGAATAGGAGCAACAAATCCATACCACCTTTCACTTACTGCTCTCAATGGAGGAAGGAAGGAAGGAAGGAAGGAAGGAAGGAAGGAAGGAAGGAAGGAAGGATCCAAAACAAAACACTTTAGTAATAAAAATAATGACTTTTTTTAAAAAAAGAGATTTATCTATTTATTTATTTGAAAGCTCGAGTTACAGAGAGGAAGGGAAAGACAAGAGTGGTAGAGCTTCCATCTGCTGATTCACTCCCCAGATGCCCACGACAGCTGGGCTGGGCCAGAAAGAAGCCAGGAGCCAGGCACTCCATCCGGGTCTCCCACATAGGTGGCAGGGGCCCAAAGACTTGGGCCATCTTCTGCTGCTTTCCCAGGCACACTAACAGGAAATTGGATCAGAAACGGAGCAGCAGGGACTCGAACCAGCGCCCATATGGGAAGCTGGCATCACAGGTGGCAGCTTAGCTCGCTGTGCCACAAGGCCAGGCCCATGAATTTTTTTTAAACCACCTACATTTAATTATGTCCTTCTTTGCGATCTGCTTGCCTACTGGGTCAGCTAAGTTTCTGTCTTATGAGAAATGTAAGCAAGAGATTGAACAGCAAGGAGCACTTCCATGTTTGTCACCTGCTCTCTATCATCCATATGTCTATTTGCCTATCTGACAACTCTCGGTCCTTGCTTTTCTACTTTCTATTTGTCCTTGATAATTTATACTACTCTTAATTCCAATCCTAAAATGTCTACTTCTTCTTCCTCAGACGGTTTAGTTTTCAAGATCCATGAGATAACAAGAAAGAGCAGATTTGTGTCAAAATAGATCTTAGTAATCGAAAATGAATCTTGATGTGAATGGAAGGGGAGAGGGAGTGGGAAAGGGGAGGGTTGTGGGTGGGAGGGACGGTATCGGGGGGGGAAGCCATTGTAACCCATGAGTCGTACTTTGGAAATTTATATTCATTAAATAAAAGATAAAAAAAAAAAGATTAAAGAACTGTCAACCCAGAAAAAAAAAATAGATCTTAGGAGTTTGGCATCATCGGGAAAGCTTTGGTTATTCACGTCTGGCTTCCCCTTGTAAAAGTTTCCAGTGGCTCTGTCTTCTCAGCAAAATGGCAACAAGCTGGAAGGGATTCACCCCACAATCTGATTGATTTTGTCACAGCGGAGAGCTTTCTAAGGTGACCTCGCGTCACTTTCTGCTGATAGGAGCGTTTGGCCCCGCCGTTGGTGCGTTTCACTACGAAATCTGCTTTGTGGAGAGCAGCAAGCAACATTTTTCAAAAAGTTAGTCACACTTCTTTCACATCAGCAAAGCAAACTAAAGAGCTTAAAAATTAAAGCCAAAATTAAAAACACATGGCCCTGGATCCTGGCATTTGCTTGGGTAAACGTGTACATAAATTACATTGAGACCAGCAAGTGTCCTGCGCCCGTTTCTACCCTATGATTGCCTCAAGTCAACGCAGCGCCTGGGGAAAGCATACCTGTGCTGCAGCCATTCCATAAACTCTATGAAATCAAACACATCTTTCCGGCTCAATGAAATTCAGAAAATCCGGGTCTTCACTCCTATAAATGTATCACATTGCATTTACTGGCTAATAAAGTCTCAAAGAACAAGATGGCCCTTCTTTTCACAACTTGATCCTTTACAAATTTACAAATGTAACGCTTTAACCTGCTTGAACTCAACTCAGCTCCCCGAGGGAAGATGTTAACCACCGCAAGGTGTCTGGGGCAGCTGGAGCCTGAGGGGCTGCGCCGGCCCCTGCCCCTGCCCCAGGCTTAGGAGCCTGAGTTCGTGGGGTTCATAAGCCAAGGTCAAGACAAGGAGACAAAGGAGAGAGAGGGCACCGTGAAGGCCTCACGCAAAGATCTGGGTGCCTGAAGGTCGAGCCACATACAAGGACAAGAACTCCACCCAGCTGAAGCCAAACCCTGAAAACCAAACAGAGATAAATGCCGGCAGGGAGGGGCCCTGTGGGTTCCTTCTTAGCCACCAAACCCTCTCAGGGCTTCTGTGTTCAGACCATCTCAGCCATCTTACCCGAGAAGTTGTGACATTCACGTGACCTTGAGCAGGGTTTTGCCAGGAAAAAAAAAAGCCCTCACTCATTCAGAGTCCACCTAGAACAAAGAATTTTGTGTAGTTTTGTTTTGTTTTGTTTTGTTTTGTTTTAAAGAGCATACTTTACAAACAGAAGCTCTGAAGGAGGTAAATACTAAGGAAGACACGGTGGTAATGTTAGCAGGCACTACGTGACCTTGGATAAAAATAGAATTATTATTAGCTTTTTGAATCAAACAATAAAATGTTTTGTCTACACAGCTCGGGGCATTCTGGAAACAGCAAAACTGTTAAGTTTGTATAGGAAGTAGAGAGTCAGTGGAGAAGGGAGACATGAGAAGAGAGAAGAAATAAGAAGTAGGGGAGAGGGGCCGTAGGAGCCCCCCTGGGCAGCTGGGGTGCAGGCTGCACCTGCCACATAGGAGCAGCCAGCGCTGTCGCAAAATCAAAGCTTGGAAAGTTATCCCCACCGAGGAGGGCTGGATGTTTTACAAATTCCATTATGGACAACGGAATCCATTAGCTTAGGAAGATGTGTAATTAAAGCTGGGTGCTAGATAATTCACAGGATTGCTTCAGCCACAACCACAACCATAAAAATGCAAGCATACATTATGGGGGTAATTTTAAATGAAAGCTCTTGTACCTAAAATAATGACCCAGTTTCCCATTGCACTCTGCCAGCTGATCTTCATCGGAAGCCCCAGACAAACGGCATCTTACGGGGAAATGCACCCTCCACATCCGTGGTGCTGTCTGTAACAGGGTGGATGCCTCTTTTCTAGTGGTTAAGCAACACCTCCACCTGCCTCTCTGTCTCCTCAGAGGAAGCACAGCCTATAAGCATCGCACAAATGCCAACGAGTCTGCCCCATCGAACTCATCTTCAAAATGAACCACTGAGGGGCTGGCGCTGTGGCATAGCAGGTAAAGCCATGGCCTGCAGCGCCGGCATCCCCTATGGCTGCTGGTTCAAGTCCTGTCTGCTCCTCTTCTAATCCAGCTCCTTGCTAATGCACCTGGGAAAGCAGCAGAAGATGGCTCAAGTGCTTGGACCCCTGTACCCACGTAGGAGACCTGGAAGAAGCTCCGGGCTCCTGGCTTCAGTTTGGCCCAGGTTTGGACACTGTTGCCATTTGGGGAGTGAACCAGTGGAGGAAAGACCTCTGTCTTTCCCTCTTTCTGTGTCTCCCTCTCTCTGTGTGAGTCTGCCTTTCAAATAAATAAAATAAATCTCAATAAACAAATAAATAAACCATTGAGAACACTCAGTAATCTGGCCACCGCATGTTCATTTCTACTATTTTCTAACAGTTTCGAATCTTCATGGCAAACAATTTTAATCAGAATAGTGTAGCTCTGAGTGTCCCTGGACGCACGTTGGATTTTCTTATTCAATCACTGAATAAGATCCCCCAGGGAAAAAAAATGGAATCACGCGGCGCTCGCGGGAGCCCTGCAGAATCCTGGCAGAGCAGTGGTAAGGTGGTCCTGGGCCACGGCTCACATACAGAATGTACTTGTGAAAACAAAGGCGTTCGGCCTGTGCTCAGCCCCACTGTGTGCCCTGGGATAGAAGAGGCGGTCGTGTTTGTGAACCACCGCCACCATCCCCTAAGTTGCTGTCCGCAACCCAGAGGCCAGGAGCTGAAATAATCTTTGAGTAGCACCTGATGGACAAACCCAGTGTCTTGGAGCCGACAAGCCGTCGGTCTTCGGCTCACATGTGTTTGTGCACTCTTATCTCTATTTCTGATGCAGTTGAGACCTCAGGCTATTTTTAAAGACTTGAACATAAGAGAAAAACTTTCCAGTGGGGGGTGGGGGAAGACCACAGCTCTATTTGCAGTGGTAATGTCTTATTTTTGCGTCAGATATGCTAAGAGAAGCAGCCAAGTGCTGTCTTCCTCGGAGGTGGTACAGGATGGTGGGGGAAACAGAACTCAACAGAGACTGAGAGTCAGGCAGTGGCAAGCCAGGTAGCCAGCGGGGCATGAGATGTCTCACCAGATCCCCTCACAAGGCCTGGTTTGAATTCTGACTTGGATGAGTTTTCTGTCTCTTTGAGCTTCCAGTTCAAAATGAGGATAATAACAATATAATGGTGCTGTGTTTATTTCAAAGGCTAGTGGAGTGGGAGCAGAAACATAAAGTTCTTGCTTGTGTCCAATCACTGCTTTCAGCATTGTTTGAGGGGTCAAATCTACTTTTCTCATCTGAGCGCTAAAACCCTTATAATTTCTTGCTCCTCTGTGAACAGAACTGAGATCAGAAACCGGTTTCTCTCCCAAGAGCCAATGATCCTGAGATCAAGCAAAACAACCTGACTACGTGGTCCAGAAAGAAGCCGTTTTGAGAGAGAACACTATACATCAGTTCTGAGCTGGAAGTGTCAAGGAAGCGGCTCATTGGTTAAGACTATCTACTCTCAAAGGTTTCCATTGGAGACCTTGGCCTTGCTCTGCATTTATCCTGAGCGATTATGTCACACACGGACCCATCACCCCCAGCGACGCCCGCCCTGCCTTGCAATCGCCACGTTAAAATCATCGCTTCCCCTTCCCCATCTGAGGCACCATTAAAGCCCTGTAAAGAGAGATGTTCTCTCTTACTGCAGGCGAACTGACCGTCTTCTCTTGACTCCATCAATGTTTCTGTTTTTTTTTTTTTTTTTTTAAAGATCTACCTATCTATCTGAAAGGCAGAGCTACGGAGGGAGAGAAAGAGACAGAGCAGAGAGATATCTTCCAACTGCTAGTTCACTCCCCAAATGACAGCCACGACCACAGCCAGGCCCGGTGGAAGTCAGGAGCTTGGAACTCCATCCGGGTCTCCCATGCAGGAGGCAGGGGCCCAAGTACTCAGGCCGTCCTCTGAAGTCCCCCACACGCAGGCATATTAGCAAAGAGCTGGATCAGAGATGGAGAAGCCAGGACTCCCACTGGCACCCATATGGGATACCAGCATCACAGGTGGAAGCTTAACCCACTACTTCATGTCAGCCACTCTCTGGGGCTTTTTTTTAAGAGGGTGAATGGTTGGCATATCCCTAGACATCTTCAGTAGGTTTTACAGTATCATTAGCGCATTGGAATTAAAGCATACATGGGGGCAAGCATTTGGCCTACCAGTTACGACATGGCTTAGGATGCCAGCACCCCGTAACTGAGTACCTGGGCTCAGTATCTTTCTCCAGCTTTCTGCTAATGTGGACTGCAGGGAACAGCAGTGATGACTCAGGTGATAGGCTTCCTACCACCCACATGGGAGAACTGGATTGAGTTCTAGGCTCCCAACTCCAGCACTATGGCCATCACGGGCATCTGTGGAGTGAACCAGTAGGCAGGATCTCCCCCAACCCACCGTCACCTGTCTCTCTGTCTCTCAAGTAAAAGTAAAAATAGCACATTTCAATTTATATCCTCCTCAAAGTACCCACCCAGCCTTACCAAGGGCGGTGGGATGGGGCAACAGCGTGGCCCTCTGAGACGCAGGTGGGGCAGGGCAGGGGGAGGAGCGTGATTTGAGAGTCGCCCCTTCCAAGCCCAGCAGCTCTGGGAGGAAGGCTCTTCCTGGGTAACTGGTCACCGCTCAGCAGGACAGGAGGGCTCTTTGTCATTTTGCTGCTCTGGCGGGTTCCATGGGTCTCTGTGTCCAGCAACATGGCATCCCCTGTGCAGGTGGTGGGTGGACACAGCTTTCTCTGGACAGAGCTGCACTCTGCTACCTCGCCATTGTCCATGTCCCACTCCTCTGGGGTTGCTGTCTCCATCCGTTCTTGCCCCCCGAGTACTTTCTTGGAGCAGTGCTGCCGCATTCTTATAAAGGTTGTGCAGGAACCACTGAGAAGGGGAGAGTAATGGCAGAACATTGCAAGGAGAAGTAAACATCACTAAACTACGTGGCACGGAGACAGCACCTAGTCATTGTCTTTCTTCTCTGTCATGTACAGTGCACTGTGTCGGTGATACTATCTTTGTAACAAGGGAGATATGAGAATAGCATGTAAATGCACTATTTTTAAAAATATAAGAAAAGGTTCACAAACATTTATACTTCAAAATCAGAAACGAACCTACGGTGATTTCATTAAACTACAAACAAGCATATATTTACCATTAAGCCTTTAAAAATCCTAGTCAAGAGCAATCAGGAACACCATGTCGATGCCAGAGTGACACTCCGTTTTGACTTTTTTGTTGTTGTTACCTCTTCATAAATAATCTTTAATTCAGTGTCTTAAAAATAGACGCTTCATTGTTGATATGAGGACTCTCTTCAAGGTGTGAAATTAACAGGCACCAACACAGAAGAAGAGACCGTCTTCTCTTAACATTTTCCATGACATGTCTTAAAGCCTATTAGGATTTGGGGGAGATCCAAAGAGCAGAGTGAGAAATATTTATAGCATATGAGTGTAATAAAAAGTGTAATCATGAACTAACAATACATTAAACTAGTAGGACACAGTTTACATTAGATCACAGGAATGAATATCAAAAATACAGGCAATATTTTTGAAAAAACAACCAGCAGTGAAAAATTTATTTATAATACAAACCAGACTCTCCGAAATAATTTGTGGTTTATTTAATTCTTACCGTTCATTCTGTGTTCTTTTGAATAAGCTGAAGGAAGGCACCCGAGTAACTATCTCAGCTGGTTTTGATTTTGATTTTGAATTTTCAGTGAGATGAAAACTCGAGTCTGTGTAACACAAAGAGATGGCATGTCACTTCTAGAAACTCAGATTCCCCCCTCAATGTAGATACCTACTCAAAAGAAATGTATTAGAATAAATTACTTTATTTCCAAATTGTCTCATTATTTCTGGACAAACAATAATTGCATATAAATTCTGAATAAAGGAATATCACATTGCATCTTATGTGTTCTGCAATATGCACTCGTAGAAAATCATTACAGTAACAAAACCAGCTGCATGTAATAGAAAGCAAATGATTTACAATGTTACTATGAGAAACTACTTTATTTCATATTATCATAAAAAGAACAGAGCTGAATATTTGCATGACAAACAGAAGAATGCAGAAATTCCAAGTGCAACTCAGTTGTGTTTTCTTTCTTTTTTTATTTTTTGTAAAATCGGTTTTAATGCTGGAAGGTGATCTGAAAAGCCTACTCTAGAAAACATTGGCAATTATAATTTGCAAAGTCTTTATGTGTCTAACAATTACAAGGGAAAGATCTACAAATATTAATAGAATATAGAAGGAAATACTTGGAGTAGTATGTGCTTATATCATAAATATCAATATCACAAGGGCTTACATTTCGATATTTGAACATTTTATTTCATTTAGACTAAGTAGAATGCATTTGAGTTCCTAAATGAAGCTTGACCTTGAAATGTGAACCACACCAAAAGCCTTCCATGTCTGTGCTCTCATGTTTTATGTGTCAGTCATCACATCTGTCTACCAACAGCCCAGGCCGAGAGACCCGGGCCCACTCCCGCCCCCACCGTAGGGGGAACCCTGTGCCGACTCGGAGTCCAGCTCTCCCCTCCGCCCAGCCATAGCTGCAGGTGGCGGAGACAGAACCACCGTGCACAGCCGCCGCAAGAAAAATTGACTGGGGGAAGTCAGACGGCCTCTCTCTTGGCTACGGGAGGTGAAGCCTAAAGCCAGTGCCACAAGGAGTCCTGGCAAGGAGAGAAAGAGCAGATGTCTCCTCCATGTAGATGCCTACTCGAAAGAAGGAGTGGGAGAGGGGGCATTATAAGGAAGCAGAAGACGTTAGGCCTAGTGCTTACGATGCTATTGAGATGTGCATCTCCTTGACCGGAGTGCCTGCGTCATACCTGCCTCTGGCCCCAGACTCCAGCTTCTCGCTAGCATGGACCCTGGGAGGCCATGAGGGCTCAAGTCACTGGGTTCCTGTTCCCCACGTGGGACACCCAGATTGAGTTCCCTGACCTTGGCTCAGGCCCCTGTCAACTGCCAGCCGTTGTGGGCATCTGGGAAGTGAACCAGTGGTGAGGAGTTCTCGCTGTCTGTCTCTCTGCCTCTCAAGTAAATAAATAAATAAAATCTAAAGACTGTCCTTAAAAAGAAAATAAAGATGAGGAAGCTGACGGGGCAGAGGCGAGAGCCAGGATGTGCGGCCCCAGGTCACGGGGCGCAGGCAGGCGGCACGAGGCAGCCGAAGGTGCTGAGGCTGACAGGAGTCCCTCCCGATGCCAGGTCCCCAACCTCAGCCCTGGCTCCAGGAGGCCTCGCCCAGGAGTGGCTCCCTGTGCCACTCCATGCTCTGATTTTGCCTCTCAGACCTCGATATGATAAAAACACGCCAACCAAATTAGCTACTCAACCTATCAACTGAATACATGGGTATGAAACCACACCTATCAAGTGTATATAGCCCATATATAACTTACTAATTAGTGTATGGTATTATGGATTATATAGTTATATATTGTATATTTGCAAATTATATTTATTATACAACAACATACTATGTAATACTTATATAACACTAAAACTTAGAAATTATATGTAGTATATATGCCATATATTTATATATCAGGTTTATAAAATTGTAGGCTTTTATATATGCTATATAAAAACTAGAGAAAGTTTCCAGGACTCAAACATTCATGTTTGAAATCCAAGCTCCAAGTTTTTGCAAGGGCTACCAAATTAGAATTCTCTTTAGTGGTCATGCTCTTTAGAGAAACAGCTAATTTAAGTTACCTAATAAATTTTATGGTGGGTGCAGTGGATGAATATAAAACATATTTTAAACATAATTGAAAAAATATACAAAATGAACACAGTCAACCGGCTCTTGGCTTATGTCTTCCTTGCTTATCACCATCTGTCGTAATGACACTAGACTACAATACCCCAAATATTACAGTAGAGTGGGCCAGCATGCTGAACCTTTGAGTCCTTCTAACACATTCTTGCCTCATGAATTTCAACATCACTTTTGCATGGTGGATGAAAACTATTAGGTGATCAGCAATGTCAAGTGCTGCTGATTGACCAGATAAAGGCTGAAACGGGCACCCTGGCAATATAGAGATGAAGAGGAGAAAAGAGAACTGTGATTGGAGTGTGTCCAAGAGAAAATGGCAAAGAGAGTGGGCAGGTATGGACAAAACTTGCAAGAAGCTTTTCTCCAAAAAGCAGCAGAGGGGATGTTTGCTCAAGCATGCTTTTTCCTTTTTTTTTTTTTAATACGAGGACTATTAGAGAATATTTGTAGATTGGTGCGATTGATCGGGCAGAGAAGACAGATGGAGATGCACAAGGGGGAAGAGATAAAGCCAGATGCAAAGTCCTTGAGAAGGCAAAATCAGGTGAGGTCTCTCACCTGGGTGCGGTGGAATGAGAAGGCCATGCCAAGATGGCCACTGGCACCAGAGTCTGCCTGGCAAGAGGCTGTGATTGGATGGTTTCGGAAACCACATGACAACGGAGTCTGCGCTGTCCTCAGATGGGAGCACTGAAGGTGAACCACTCCCTGCAACAGGACAGAGAGCGCTGGGGCAACTTGTGAACTTTTTATTAATGCATCCAAAATTTGCATTAATTTTGCAAGCAGCCACTCTGCCGTATCGATTTCCCCTAGAGTGAGAATCACCCCAGCTCCAGCCTGCTTTGGTGGCTCGCCTAATCCTCAGCAGTTCATTGTTAGGACCAGGTCCATTGGAGATATCACTTTGGTTTATGTTAATAAGTGTGTAACAGCCAGATGTTCCACCCCTGCTGACAGGATGGGGAACCCAAGACCCTCTCCCTACATCTCGGTTGGCCCCTCAAGTCCCTGGGCTCTGGCCATCACCCACTTGGCTTACAATGATTCATCCCTTGTAGCAGTGTAATGTTTCTCTCTTTTTTAAGACTTATTTATTTATTTGAAAGGCAAAGTTACAGAGAGAGGCGAGAAAGAGAGAGATCTTCCATTCACTGGTCCATTCCCCCAAAGGACCACAATGGCCAGAGCCAGGAATTCCACCCAGATCTCCCACTTGAGTCCATGGGCCCAAGCCCTTGGGCCATGTTCCACTGCTTTCCCATGTTAGCAGGGATCTGGATGGGAAGAGGAGCAACCAGGACTAGAACTGGCGCCCATATGGGATGCTGGTGTCACAGGCAGTGGCTTATCCTGCTATGCCACAACCCTGGCCCCAGGTACAATATTTCAGGCCACACAGTCGAGTGACAGGGAAGCTGTATAAGTCTGTTTTCCTGTTACTCTACATAATCTCTATTTTGATTGCCTTTTTTTTTTTTTACTGCTATAAAAGTTTATCTGGAAACTGTCATCTGGATAAATGCAATCATTTCAGGTTTTAAACACAGCTGGGAACTCCTGCCTCCCCATCTTTCTCTCTCTGAAAGGGTGAGACTGAAGTTTGAGGCCTCAGGGCAAAACCCCAGGCAGGTCAATGGCTGTCAGCCTGGATTCCCCTGGCATCTAGGTGTGCGAATCACTGGGTGTGGAGCCCACCACCGTCAGTCTCTGCTCTTTGATCCCTGTACTGAATCTTCCCAGGCCTGGTCTGGAGGACCCTGTGGGCCCATCAGGCCTCTCTGGGAGGGGGAGGGGGGGCATTTTCACACCTTTCAGGAGGAGATGACATTTGCAGACGATCTCTGGGGCCTGGAGGCTCAGGGCTTGCCTCAACTCTTCTCTACTGAGACTCCCTCCTCCCTGCTACTCCACTGCTACTGCTGCTTCTCCAAGCCAACCAGGCAAATGGGATTGGGGAACTCTGCTCCCTTTCCAGGTCCTCCCTGGGAAACAAGGCACAAGTGCTCTCGCACCCCCACGTTTCTCCAGAGCTGCGCTCATCAGTTTGCTCGGTATCCATGTTCAGCTCTCTGTCCTAGGAGAGCGGAGGAGTCCTGGAGACATTCCGCTTGTCCAGCCTTTTCAACCTTCTGTCCAGATCTCCCCTGCTCTTCCCTCTACCCAATGCAATCTGTGTCTTGTCCTACTCTTTCATCAGTCCCACTTCTGCATCTGCTTGGGCTTTTGTACCCTCTTCCTCGACTGTTTGCTCTGCAGTGGGAAAGCTGAGAGCCGACTCTCTCTCATGCCTTCATCTCATTCTCTGGAGCAGTGGGCCTGGCTCTCCTGGCTGCTGCCTCAAACCAGGGGGAGGTCACAAGGGGACCAGCAATTACGAGGACTGAGCACCACCTAGGCCATTACCAAGGTATTAGCAACCTTACAAGCTTGTTAAGGCGTGTTTTTCCAAGAAGGCATTGAGTCTGCCATTCCACAATAAATTAGAATTTAGCCTCACTTAATGCAGCACATTATTTCTGCTCTGCACAGTTTTGGCCCTACATGTATTTATCCACTTAACTATCAAGTTCTCATTGATCTTTCACGTGTGCCTTACTCTGTAAAGTTATATTTGATTGAACGTAGCGCGGATGAAGGTAACTAGAATTTTCCTGTGTTTAACTCTGTTCCAGCTCTTAGCATCTGAAGCAAATTGATGCTGAGGAGAAAGTGCGGATGCTGACGTGTGTACATTCAGCAGGCTCCAGCCTGACACCAGATACAATTTCATATCTGTAAAAAATGCTTTCGCATACGTTACTGTGTTTTATTCCCCAGCAAATGTTGGACGTAGGTGGAGTCAATGTTGGATATTGGCTTCCTGAATGAAAACCCAGCATCCTCCACAAGGGACAGACTGTTAGCGCTTTGACCTTTGAGTT